AATGAACTGAAAGGATGAATTCACGAGATTTATTCATAAAATTGATACCCTTTGAATTTCTTATCATAAAAAGTATTGAAGGGTGTGCCAAAAATACAGTAACTTTAATGATTTGTTGGAATAACAATTGCTTTTGCAAAAAGAATCAAATCCCATGTTTAACCATGATACTTTCTCAATATGCCTCAACACCGCGAGGATTTTTTTATAGCATCCGATTCATCAGATTTTCTTGTTTCGGAATTAAAAATGCTACGGATAAAAATCGTAAGCACTTGATTGAAAGCGACGAATCATTTCAAAGAAGAAAGATTCAAACTGAAATTTGAATGCGGAACATTAATATCACTCACCTGATCCTTCCACTTTTGTATTTCATCCTTACTGATTTCGTCTTTACCGTTTTGATTCGATTGTCTTGATGAGTCTTTTTTTGTAGGATATTGAGTCGGTATTGAAGATGGTCCAGGCTTACAAACTGGTTCATTGGAACGTTTCGAACGCTGCAATGAAAGATTGCCGAATTAATTCCAAAAAACGAAGAGGATCGTGGCATTTCACTTCGTGATCAATCCACTGAATCAATCTCCTCGTGAAATTTCTATATTCATACGTTCAACTTTATCAATTGAGCGATCTGATTTCATTTTTCGATAAGTTTAATCGCTACTGAACAATAGTCATCGTTGAAAAACCCATCAGTGAGACGACGGACTTTTTATTTCTGATAACACCTGCTTCATGTTTGTTTGAAAGTCATAAATTATAACTGTGAAAAGCGAACTGTTTAAGAATTGATTGCTTCAAGATTGAAAAGCTTTGAGAATTCCCAATGAACACTGCGTTGCGCAAAAGACTTTCGACAACTCATTTTTAACAGAATATTTATGTGTTCATTCGTCTATTTACTGCCTCTTCTGTCTATCAATTGAAAAAATGAACTGATTGAGTTCTCTGATACCGTAACGAAGATCCACGTCACTTTAATTTCAAAACCGCTTAAAAAAAAGAGGTATATATGCACTTGGGGTGTTTGGGGGAAGGTGGAGGGGTGGGGGGAGATCCTAAGGATAAGTTTCATCCCGAAATCTCACACTGTCACTGATAAAAGCCTTCAGTAACGTTGTTTCTCTGCAAATAACTCCTAAAAGTGGTCTTGAAATTTTATTCTTGTCCCATATTTAAATTAAACCTTCTGCAATAATTGGACAGATGAAACGATAACTGAAACTTTCTTATGGAAATTACAAGTAGGCAAGTCAGATTCATGTGCAAATATACGTATATAATCAACGACAGGAACTTCTTCCACTAAAGAAAGCAATTTGTGAATATTAGCGAGCGTTGATGTGCGATTCTCAGCTATTCAACTTTTTTTTCGTTTTATTCATTCAATCAATCATTTGTTTGAACCCTTTCATTGAATTCATTGAACAATATTTGCGATAATTTTATACGCATTCACGCCAAAAACAGTTGCACTCTCCAACTGCAGTTGAACAGCGAATTGTTTCGGTTTAATGTTACAGCAAATAAGAACGATAGCAAAAATCAAAAAATTTTTCGCATCGAAAATTTTGATATCTTACGCACTTTCCCTAATTATTCTCGGAACTACACATATATGAATTCCAGTTTCACAACGTTAATGAATAAATGAAACAAAATTCCGATAAATTTTCGCAAATTTCGTAGTTTTATTGCATTAGAAATCATTTGCATCTGATTATTTGACAGCAACGATTCATGTGAATTTAGTAATCAAATGTGAATTTAGTACAAACGCTATTCGCTGAACCAAAATCGGTTTCGTGCTCATCCACCACTTCATGCCCTCTTTTGACCGTATGGCAAACCGCCATTCCCCTTCTCCCTCCCCTCTCCCATCCGCAAATCCCCAACATTCTAAGTGATAGTAATTCCCTTCCTGCCTGATAAACTAGTAATTCTTAACTAAGAATTTGAAGAAAGTCGGAAAATTGATCTATTGATTGAACAGTTTGATGCAAACAATTCGTCAAATGTAGCGAAGAAATCAATTTCTTACAAGTTCAAAAACATTATCGGGTGGATCGTATTAATTAGGGAAAAACCAATCGAAAATGATTTACCAGTTTCCCCGATTCCCTCTGAAACCCCTTTAAGTACCCTTATGAACTGTAATATCCTATGCAAATTCTGTAATATCCTATGCAAACAAGTCATATTATGTTATAAGATTGTCTAACGAAATCCAAGATGGGATCGTTCTTGAGTGATGTAATAATTCTTTTGATGCCATCATGAAGGTTAATCCCTTGATTTGCCTAATCCTTTTTGCAGAATTAATTCGATGCGACATTTCCAATATCTTAAATCTACAATGAACTTCCCCACCGAACCAATCATCAACAGCGAATCGCCGCTATTTTACCTTTTCACATCCCTTTGCAACCCTTAAAACAATCCTTAGTTGCATTCGAAATTCCACTAAATTCCCATCACTATGGACTTTCTGTCAAAGACCCTTAAAACAATGCACAAACGTTCCCTTAATTCCAAGACACTGAATCAAAACGAATTTTCGCTCCTCTCTCTCTACTCATTCTACGTTCCTATAATATTTTGTTCCCTGTGAATCGTGTCTGTTTCGGTGATTATAAACGATGATATTTTGTTGTTAATAAATGATGTAATGACCTTGCTAGAATCTCACTCACTCACTCAGCAGGAAGTTGTTCCAAAGACAAAGGTGCGAATCATGCTATCTATGTGTATAATGACTGTGTACGTTTGTGTGTGGCTGTGTGAATTCAACAAATCATAAAAAGCATTCGTCTTATAAAAGATCCCATAAAAACACATTATAATGTCGATTCAACACGAACCAATTCTCCATCGAAAAATAAGCAGCAGCACGTCGAAACGGCGAATATCTTGTCATGGAATGAAAACGAATAAAATTTTTGGAAGGAACCATAAGTGTCATGGAATGAAAATATAACCATAAACTACCACATAATCACATATGCATAAACTCTATGCTCCTAATATTGTTAAATATTAAATTTGTATGGCACAGTATGATATTCATCTTAAAAGCATATCATTAAGTTCATCAGTAGAGCCTAATAGATGACAATATTGTGATAAAATTGCAGATTTTTTTCGTGGCGTATTGCTGAGCCAACTGTGTCCTTACTGCAGTGGAAATGCTTTCGGTGTATATATCAACCTGTTTATTACTCTATGTATTTATTCATTAACAATCTCAAATTCTAAATATTATATTTATTATCATTATCGTTGTTATTATTGATTGTTGCACAGATTATTCTAATTATTAGTGTAGTTATCGATGTATGTAATATCACTATGGTTATTATTCCTTTCGTTGTTATTATTCTGATTATTTGGTATTATGTTCTATTTGTTTTCATCAGTGACAAATAACTCATTACAATGACAAATCCACTGATTTGTGATTGTAATTGAGCTGTATTTGATTCACTTTTACATTGTTTATGATTACGATTCATTAATGAAATAAAAAATGAAGTTTAGCACTAACCTCACTCAACGCTTGCTTCGCTAGATTGATAGTGTCGAGTTTCTGGGTGAATTCTTTGGAATTGTTCAATCTGCTATGAGCATTTTTACCATCGTTATAATCACTATCGATGAGTTTTTGTCGTGGAGGAGGCTGGCCGAATGTGTCGAGTTCACGTAAAAAGACTCGCGTTTCGTGCTCCACATCGGTCATCTCTTCAAAAAAAACCATTCAAAAATTTGCTTTTGAAATGAAAATTTGAATTAATCGATATCTATTTATATCAATACGTTTGTGAAGTGAAGAATTGCAGCAGGTTCGAAGCCTGTTGGCAATTCAAAGAGCAAAAGAACTTTGATAATGTCTGCAGTTTGATGATAAAGCAATTAATTGAAATTTATTGAGTCTTCGCGAAACAATGAATCAGCTTGAACACATAAATGATTTACAAAACACTCAATTATGCATCATAGAAGATAATATTCTAAATGAGGAATTACTGATTGGCAACGTTGTGTGCAAGCGAATGGGTTTTATTTTGAATTAAAATGTTGATTTTGAATTGAGTTATGAAACTTTGAAATTTTCGGTCGAACTGACCACGAACTTCCTGCCAGACCTAATGAATGACAACAACACGACGATCGGATATCTTCATAATGAAAACTGATCATAAGTTGCTATTGTTAGATGCACATGCCACAAAACACATCGTTTCAATATGCAACAAAAAATCCGAGCCCCAAACTGTGAAACGAAAAAATAACAGTCGGGAACGTTCAAAACAATTCAGCCACAGCTGATAATACGAAACACTCGAAATGCTTTACTAGAATTTACCTACTGCTATAGAACGACGATTCATAACAAGGTCTGTTGACTCTTTTCGAAAGGCCAATTTTCATGCTTATGGTAAATTTCTCAACTGATAATTGCTCACTCAGTTATCAGTGCTTTCATTCAGACGGATAGTTTGGTAAATAATCCAAAAAAAAA